CCTTAAAGTCCATGTAGTTTAATTGATTACAGAAAATAAAAAATATTAATTTAAATATTGAATTTATATTTTAGATTAATGAAAGTGCATGCAGTCTTTTTGAATACAACAAAAACTTTGTTTATTTCACAAGAAAACAAGAAAGAAAGCAAACTTCGGCAAGCCGAAGTTCATATACCCTTGCAGCTATTGCAAGAATTAAACATTTTTGAAAACATTAAAATTATGATTTACTTTCGTATATGTTTAAAAACATTGAAACTATGATGATTTGCAGCTCAATTATTTGATAGTTATTTTATATATTTTTATTATTTCTAAGGGAGCTATATGATATAGACGTCCGATTTTGATAAAATTTAAACCATAATTCTGAAATATTTAACCATCACTAAATGTCGAAGAACTAAACAAAAAATTAAAAAACAGAAAAGTTATAATTTTTTTTCATTTATTTTTCCGATTGTTCCTATGGGAGCTATATGATATAGTCGTCCGACTTTGATGAAATTTAAACCGTAAATCGGAAATATGTAACCATTACTAAATGTCGAAGAACTAAACAAAAAATTAAAAAACAGCAAAGTTATAATTTTTTTCATTTATTTTTCCGATTGTTCCTATGGGAGCTATATGCTATAGTCGTCCGATCCGGCTCGTTCCGACTTATATACTACCTGCAATAGAAAGACAACTTTTGGGAAAGTTTCATGCAGATAGCTTTAAAACTGAGAGACTAGTTTGCATATAAACGGACGGACAGACGGACAGACGGACAGACGGACAGACGGACAGACGGACAGACGGACGGACAGACGGACGGACAGACGGACAGACGGACATGGCTAGATCGACTCGCCTAGTGATGCTGATCAAGAATATATATACTTTATAGGGTCGGAGATGTCTCCTTCACTGCGTTGCAAACTTCTGACTGAAATTATAATACCCTCTGCAAGGGTATAAATATATGAAGTAAGTTCTAGTTCTATAACTTTAAGCCTAAGCAATTTCATTTCGAAAACTCCTACTTAGGTGTAGATAGGCTATTTAGATATGCATAGTAATTGTTGCACAGCCTTCTACTTATTTATCCACTTGACTGCGCTGAATTAAATTATTACTGAATCCATTTATCATGCATTGTGATGAAGTAACTTGCATGTGATACCATATTTGACTATTTGAGGCTGCACATTTTCCAAGTCGTTGAACTCGAAATCCATCTTTTGCCGAAGGAAAGGAATGCGGAGAAGACCACCCACGCACCTAGCAAAGGACATTTTGCGGCATCCATCCTATGCGGACAATGCCATCTATTCTGCGAGCCGTTGACAGGCATTTGTATTACCCATTCGAAGAGCTAAGAGTGGCGGTCATGGCGCAGTGACCAGTGGCGGACAGCCAAAGGACAATTTGCAGGATATCGCCGGACTGGCTGGCTGCGAGCCAAGCGTGTTTACTGCATATTTACAGGGCAGATCATAAAAAAAGGAACTAGTGTAGCAATGTGGCCGCTTTAATTGCGCCACAAACTGCATTGGATATTCAATTTAAAAGCGAATTGCTGACATAAATGAAGGAATATGGTGGGGGCACAATTTCAATCTGTTCTTTTCATAAATACGCAAATTTGTCCATTGAGGCGGATGCAAATGTTTTGCCAAGGCAGTTCCATTTAGCCAAGCCATCCATTTCGCTCTGCGCCGTCCTTCCAGCCACATAAAAATGCCAGCATAGCCAAAGTGCAGAGAAAAATTACTGAAACTATCTCCAAGCAGCAAGGATACAAGAGCAGAAGTAGCGACATCATCATCATCACCACCGTCATTACCATCTTCATTATCCTCAGCAAGGATAACGAGCGATGCTGCGTTTGTGCGACTGTCTGCGTATTTGTAGCCGACTTACAGGAACCGCGGCGCCAAAAAACTACTAAAAATAAAGTTTGCATTTTGTCTATTTGTTTCCTGTCGCCTTGTCCCAGTCCCGTGGCCCCTTTCCTTGGCGACATTTTCGCATCCCGCCAGCAACATAAACATAGAAATTGCCATGAAGACAGGTTGACATGCCCGCCATATAAGTGTGTCGTTCCTTGCAGCTGGCGCAAGTTCGAAAACAGTAGATATTTTAGCCTGAGCAAGGGAGTGGGTGATTGTTGACATTCGAACAGCATAAACATATAGTATATTTGTATAAATAGTGCTAATTCGAATTATATTTCTTGTTTCTAAAAAATATCTGACAAGTTTATAAACGACAATCAAAATTATTGAACAAATTATTATTTATTTTCAATTTGATTTATTAATTTTAATTAAAATTTAACTTTTGTCTTCGTATAAAAATATTTTATATTAAATGTGTTTGCCTATAATTTATTTATTAATAATTAACATGAATTAAAAACCCATTTTCTTCCGGATTTTCATAAAATTTGTCAGCTATTTTCCACCATATCTCGTCGATGTTAGATTGTTTTTTAATGAAAAACATTGGTGTGCTGTTTTTATTAATAAAGTATGTTTTATATGAATGGGTACAACATCTACATTAAAAAGAAGCACCAAACAATTCTAACATGCATTTTTTATAGAGACCTCTAGCGGTTGTTGGCAGAAGCTGCGAATTGTAAATGTATTTTACATGCATCTCTGTACATTCTATGTACGCCTTTTGAGGCGCCATCTGTTGTTCGATTGCGATTATGCGATGACGTAAGATTGCACTTACGTAAACAGAAACGTAAAGATTTTTAAATCGAGTAGCGAATTATAAATGCTTAACGTTAATTAAACGTAAGGATTTTAAATGCATTAGCAAATTATTAATAAATTAAATTCAGCTTTTTAATTTCCTTCAAGTGTTTTATATATTATTTAAAAGCCGTTTACATGCTAAATTATCTATAAAGTATCCAAAAATATATTTTGAAAACTGATATGTTGAAAATCTTAAAGAATTTTAGGGAACACGTTGTCAAATGCCAGGCCTGTCTTAACCATAAATTAATTTATTTCAAATTTGGTATGAATTTATTATCCTTAATTAAATAATTTTTTGTCCCGTAAATAAATGCAATTTTTTATGGCCTATATTATTTTACAGTAACTCTTATACTAAATCCCTAAAAATAGATTACCAAAATTAAAATACCCAATATTGGAAAACAAATTTTTGAGGAAATCCCTTAAGCCACAAACTTTCACCCAAAACTTGGCAATCCTTTGCGGATGCAATTTAGAATTAATTATGCCACGCTTGTCGGCCACTTGGCCGTGAACTTTTGGGCCAGGGCGGCGAATAACTTGAGACCAGCTTGTGCTGAGGTTACAAATTCTCATATGTCGCCACACACAGGACACAGGACAGAAATAGTGACGGTGACGGTGATGGACAGGCGGACGGACAGCTCGGGCGGGGATTGGCAACAGTTGACACAAGAGCATTTAACGCTTCAGCACGTTTTCAATTCAATTTCCACAGCTAGAAGAAGGCAGCGCCAAGGAAGCGGAGGCGTTGGAGTGTGCGAAAACTTAAGCAGACGCACCGAGCATGACAAACGAGGCTGAGGCCGAGGCTAAGGACAATGCCCGTACCGATGCCCCGTGCCGATGCCGGCAGGATAATGATAATGAAAATGAACGCCAGCGGTAAGCGAAGACGTTTGTGGGTGTGGCCAAAGAGGCGGAAGCGGAAGCAGTGCTTAATGAAGATGCTGCAGTGGCAGCCGTGCAATAAATCAACAAATTACGCGGAAAGGGCTGCGCCCAAGCCTTTGTGTCTTGCAGCTAGCGAGATACTCGCACTCGGCCATATTTGTGCGCAGAAACAATAAGTGAACCGCTTAAAAATGCATAAATCAAGGAGCAAAACGCAGCCAAGGGAACTGAAACAAAAGCGAAGCGCGAAGCAACTGTCAAAATGATAATCGCCAACAACTGTTGAGGCTGTCTTGGCCGTATGACAAATGTTGTCTACTCAAAAAGAGGGTGGTCCCAGCACCCGCCACGCAGTAACCAAAATCAATGCTACAAGGCTACAAGTCCGAAAAACACATTTTACTTATTAGTTTCATTGTTTTGGAGGGGATGGGCACTCACCAAATAACGCATCATAATGGAATAGAGCAGAACTGAATGATTCCGATCCATCCATGTCGGTCCTAATCGTAAAAACAAACGCAAAACGTAGTAGCCAAAGTCCTGTCAGGACATTCGCCCAATTGTCAACCCCTTAATCCACTTGTTTCCGAGCCCTAAATCCGCTCTTTGAGTGATGCCCATTAACATTGGCGGTGGTAGGTAGTTCAGGCATGCCAGCTGACTGTTTGATCAGTCTTTTCGATATCTTTTTGAATATTTTGTTATGGCTTAAATCTCGCAATCCGATTAGCAGTGCGACGGAAAAATAGTCCTGGCAATTAATCATTGGTTAAGTAAATACAAACACCGAATTTATTAAGTAAAGCAAATGGTGGACGCAAAAAAGCTGAGTTTAACCCTAGTACTCAGATGGACACTCAGGAGAGAGGCAAATAACTGACCGATAATGCCATTTTCTTCTGTATAATATAAAAATTAGAATAAAAAAAGGAATAGCAAAATTAAATATTTGACTATTAAATTGTACAATCTGTTAAAATAAAGTTGTTCCCTATGCTTACATATATTCTATAAAATTCCGTAAGCTCTCACTCACCTACACTCCCACTAACATTATTACTTAAAAAATGATTTGATTTTTTCAGAATTACCATTAAATGAGATTGTCGATACTCGAAACTTTGGTCAATCTTTAACAGAGCCATTCTAGGACTAAGCAGAATAAACTTAAATTAAATTAAACAAATTTATTTTGCGTTTCTTGTAGCTTAGAGTTAAATATAGAACAGATCTGTCCGCAAAACGACAAAAAGTCAGCACTGAGAAGGTATGACCTTAATTGGAGCTTTTGAATCGAGCTCTACGCTTATCAGTTCGTTATTACATGCTCAAGCCGTTACATAAAATTGACTCTTATTGCTTTTAAACACAAATATAGGCCACAATTATTAGTTTGTAGCTAAGCAAGCTAAAAAACGCAAAAGTTTACAAAACCACTTCAAATTTAATTTTGTGTGAATAATGGTTGAACTGCAAGCAGGAACATCGCCGTTTAAGACGGAAAGCAATTTTGATAGTAACCTTAAAATCTGGAGTGGTGGCGAAAAGCGAAGTTTGTTTTCTGCCGACCTATCCATCGGAGAGATTATCTTCCGGCAAATGGAGAGCCATCCAAAGCACATTGCACAGGTTTGTATTAAGTTACCCATTATTAGTAAAGTAATTTTTCTCGGAGGAAACTTTCAGATTTCGGTGACGGAGGACACTGTGCTGACCTGGGAAGAGCTGCACATGAACGCCAAGCGAGTGGCAGTTTATTTGCGAAACTTGGGACTGGAGCAAGGCGACTTTGTAGGTGTCATTGGCAGGCTCACCACTCACATGACGGCTGTGGCATATGCCTGTTTCTTCAATGGAACCCCGTACCATGCACTGCACACTGAATTCGGGGAGTCTGAAATTAAGAGGCTGTTCGAAATTAGCAGACCAAAACTCATCTTCTGCGATGGAGATGAGTTTGAAAAGGTTCGAGCAGCCACCGAAGACCTCCGGGTACAAATAATTACCATGCGCAATCATCCGGAGGGATCGCTTCGGATCCAGGATATTTTGAGAACTCCCGTGGGGCAGAACTTTCAGCCAGTTCGATTGAAAGAGGGCTCTGAACAAACCCTGGCCCTTCTAAGTTCTTCCGGCACCTCGGGACCTCCAAAGGCAGTCACGATCAGCAATAGTCACCAGATTATTGCAAGCTTTTTGTACGTACACATAGATAGCAAAATTAGGTACAAATTTTAAGCCAATTTTATTTCAGCCCCATCAACAGCTCACTTGTTGCCTATAATCGAAACACACTGGACTGGGCCTCGGGGATTACGATGACCATCAATGCTGCAGTGTTCAGTATAACGAACATTATTGAGGACAGCGTGTTCAATCCCGGCTCCTTGTGTCGCCTAATTGAGAAGTACAAAGTCTCGTTCGTGTTTGTAAATTCTCCCCAACTGACCATGTTAGCCAACTGCCCGGAAATTGAATCGGCTGACCTGTCTTCTCTAAAATACTTAACTTACGGTGGCTCAAATTGTTCCCTCGAAGTTCAGAATCAAGTACGCAAGCGGCTAGGCCGCGATTGTCTTAGTTTTAGCTACACGCTGACTGAGTTAAACAGCCCCGGTTGTGTTAGCTTCAACTTTGACGAGAAGCCCAACTCAGTTGGACGCCCGGTAAGGGGCATCCAGTTGAAAATAATCGACAAACAGGGCGTGGCTCAAGGACCCAACAGCTTGGGTGAAATCTGCTTTTATAATGGCCAAAAATGGTGTGGCTACTACAAGAACCCAGAGGAAACTAAGAGAATGCAGGACTCGCAGAACTGGTTTCACACCGGCGACCTGGGCTACATGGACGAGGACGGATATCTGTTCATCATTGATCGCCTAAAGGATATCCTTAAGTACCAGGACATCATTTACTATCCCAGTGAGATCGAAAATGTCATTGCCGAAATGCCAAACGTGGTCGAGTCCTGTGTTTTTGGCCTATGGGACCCAGTAAATGGCGATGAGGCAGCAGCCTCCGTGGTGAAGAAACCGGGCACCCAACTGGAGGCCCACGAGATTGTTGACTACGTGAAGAAACGGATCACCGCCAAGTTCAAACAGCTGAACGGAGGCGCTTTGATCGTAGATCAAATTTTTCGCAGTGTAAATGGAAAAACAAACAGAGAAGCCACAAAAGCTGAGTTTATAAAAATCATGAAGAAAAGCACGATTTAACAAGAAAAAAAGCAAATTTCGGCAAGCCGAAGTTGATATACCCTTGCAGCTATTGCAAGAATTAAACATTGAAGCTATGATGATTTGCAGCTCAATTATTTGATAGATATTTTATATATTTTTATTATTTCTATGGGAGCTATGTGATATAGTCGTCCGATTTTGATGAAATTTAAACCGTAATTCTGAAATATTTAACCATTATTATATGTCGAAGAACTAATAAAAAAAATTAAAAAACAGCAAAGTTATAATATTTTTTTCATTTTTTTTTCGATTGTTCCTATGGGAGCTATATGATATAGTCGTCTGATTTTGATGAAATGTTTTCAAAAATATTTGATTCTTGCAATAGCTACAAGGGTATATGAACTTCGGCTTCCCGAAGTTTGCTTCCTTTCTTGTTTTTAAAATAATATAAATCAACTTTTATTTATAAAAGCTTAAAGCTTAATTAGTTTTAGCCAAATGCGAATTGTAATATAATTGTTATTGATTTCTGTATAGTCATATATTCCCAAATATACCCTCGTTCAGATAAGCATAGCTTTTCTCTGCTTACTTGGAATTTTAGACTCAAGCTTTCTTGCCTATCTCTGTCGATCAATTTCAGTGGAATATAAGCACTCTACCTGTTAGCATTAACAAACAACATTTTTATAATTCCCGTAAAAAGAACTTTTCCATAAACCAGAAAATATGGTCTTTTACAACGGATTCCTTAATTACTATTCTCTCAAGAATACCATGGTTCTTTATAGCTGAAACATTTTATATTTGTTTTTTTTACTAGGTAATAGCTTTCAAAAGCACTGCAGTTACGCAATTCAAAACTGTAATAGCGTGATTAAAGCTCTTTCTAAAAATGGGTGAACTGAATGCAGGCATCACGCCCTTGGAGACGGAATGCACTTACGATGATAACCTCAAGATCTGGAGTGGCGGCGAAAGGCAGAGTTTATTTTCTGCGGACTTGTCCATCGGAGAGATTATCTTCCAGGAGATGGAACGCCATCCCAAACTCATTGCCCAGGTTCGTTTTGGTGTTTCCCTCCAGGATTCAGACTGTTACAAGTGTTATTGAACCAACAGATTTCGGTTACGGATGACGTTGTGCTGACCCGTGAGGAACTTTTTCTCAACGCGAAGCGTGTGGCCAGTTACATGCGCAATCTAGGTCTTGGACAAAATGACATCGTGGGAGTCATGGGTAGACACACTACTCACTTGGCGGCTGTGGCCTATGCCTGTTACTTCAACGGAACGCCCTTTCACGCCCTGCACAACGCCTATGAACAGTCTACGATCGCGAAACTTTTCGGCATCACCAAACCAAGATTGATCTTTTGCGACGGCGATGAGTTTGACAAGGTTCGAGCAGCCAGCCAAGGTCATCAAGTACAAATAGTCACAATGCGCAATCATCCAAGATGCGACTCCATTCGGATCCAGGATGTTTTGACAACACCCGTTGACCCGAACTTCCGGCCCGTTCGATTAACACTGGGCACTGACCAAACTTTGGCCATTCTTAGTTCTTCCGGCACCACCGGAGTGCCCAAGGCAGTCACCATCAGCAATAGTCACCAGATTATTGTGGCATTTCTGTAAATATTATAACCAGTTTTATTACTATTACTATAAGTATATTACTTATTTCTTGCAGCAACATGAACAACTCGATCGTTCAGTATACATCAAGCACCTTGGACTGGTTCTCGGGACTCGTGATGAACATTACCGCAGGAGTGTTTAGTACAACCAACATTATTGCAGACGGAGACTTTGATCCAGCCCTTTTGTGCAACATAATTAGGCAGTATAAGATCTCGTTGGTGCTCTTAAGTTCCTCCTACATGGCCATGCTTGCCAACTGCCCGGAATTCAAAACGGCTGATCTATCTTCCCTAAAGAACCTATTCTACGGGGGTTCAAACTGTTCTCTGGACGTTCAGAAAAGAGCGCGTAGCCGTCTGAGCCACGATTGCCTGAACTTTTCTTATTCCCTGACTGAGTTGAACAGCGCCGGATGCATAAACTTTAATTTTGATCAAAAGCCCAACTCAGTGGGCCGTCCGGTTAGAGGCATTAAGGTAAAAGTTATCGACTCAGAGGGTAAGGCTCAAGGACCCAACACTGTGGGAGAGATCTGCTTTTATAGTGGTCAAAAATGGTATGGGTACTATGAGAGTCCAGAGGAAACTAGGCTGATATTGGACTCCCAAAACTGGTTTCATACCGGAGACCTGGGCTACGTGGACGAGGACGGATATGTGTTTATTATTGATCGCATAAAGGATATGCTAAAGTACCAGAATATAATGTACTATCCCAGTGAAATCGAAAATGTCATTGCCGAAATGCCAGACGTGGTCGAGGCCTGTGTCTTTGGCATTTGGGATGAAGTGAATGGAGATGAAGCAGCTGCTTCTGTGGTCAGAAAACAAGGATCTGAACTGAATTCCCAAGATGTTGTGGACTACGTTCGAAAACGTATAAGCGCAAAATACAAACAGTTGAACGGCGGGGCTTTAATTGTGGACCAAATCACGGGTGTTGGGGACAGAAAAACCAACCGAGCAGCAGCAAAAGCTCATTTCTTAAAACATATGAACAATAACTAGATGGAATCAATTTAAATTTATAAATTCTTTTTGAAATTGTAATTCAGTTTTAATTTAATTAAAACTTTTATATAGCTCAATGAAAATTTTAAAAATACAACAACTAATGGAACAGTACTCATATAATCAACAGCACAAATGTTACCCAAATTACATTGATATATATTGCTAGAAATTGAATGTTATGAAATAATGAATTTAAATATGTCAACTTTGTTATATAGCACAATAAAAAGAGTATAAAAATACTATAACTATTGCATAAGTTCTCATTAAATCAACACCACGAATTTTACCCAAGACGAGTCACTACCTCCCCCAATTCCTTGTAAGCAACCCCTTGTATGAAAAACTTGAGTCTATTAAAATATGCGCATATGTAATAAGTAAACCACTAAACAGGCCTCAACCAAATGCGAATCAACCATTTAGCACCCAATTGAAAAGTGTGTGACCCAGTTTTAAAGTCCTTTTAAAAGAAGATTTGGCAAACGCTTAATGTAATTGCCAAGGTCCATTAGCAGCACCAACATTGCGACATATGAGGGATATTCTAATGGTTTTATAGGACCCAAGCGCATATGGGAGAATCCTTCGTAATGGATGCCATAATTCCGCGCTAATGTTGCAAAAATCTGTAAAGCTGGTAGAGCAGAAACAACAATATCGGCAATACTCAAACAGTGACAACAATGGAAACTAAGCTCATAAATTACCATGACAATGGAATTATGCTCTAATCCACCCCGAAAAGTTATTGAACACTCCGGCAGAAATTGAAACCACAAACGTAAATCTTAGCTGCCTGTCATAAATTTGGCTGTTTTCGCCTTCGATTTTGGTTTTTCGATTCGAATGGAATAGATTATTACTTATACGCATGAAGCAATGGAAGAAAATGAAATTGCAATGTTAATTCAATTAGCCAAAGGAGAAATACGAAAAATGTAAACCATTATTATTTCTTTTCTTTTTGTTAAACAATTATTTTTCATTTGAGGCCGCATTCGAGAGTAAATGTAGAGTAAATTTATTCCGCATGATTAATTCAAGATTCGATTTTGAAAATCAACTGCGAAATGAAGGCAACTGTGTGGGAGTGCACAGTCCCAAAGAAAGCTGAGCAAAGTGAAATATTGATTCAAGGTGTTTGAACTCAGAGCACAGGCAAATATAATCAAGAAAACGACGTCATTACATATGATAATGCAGCCGAATCGACAGCGGCTAAGACTAATGTTATGAAAATTCGATGGGCATTCAAGGCATAATATTGATTGTTTATTGGAGCAAAAAGAAAATGTTGTCGTGATCTGTTTTAAAGGTTTAAAATTTATATTTATGGAAGTAAATTTAAATTTGAGAGTACAAATAATTAATTCGAACTTTGACAAATCAGAACGTTTTAATTTGAAATCTCTGATTATTGTTGAAAGAGATAACAAATTATAAATAAAAAACTTCTCTGAGCTATTTAATTTGTTGTTGCTTGAAAAGTTTTAAAAACATTTGCAGCATTAAATATAAATAATAAGTATTTAGAACGAGTTATCGTGGTAATAGAGAATATAAACTTGAATTTTCTAACTTAAAACTGTTAAAAATTTTAATATTAATTTTTGAAGAAGTATAGAAATTGTGTAAATTTTAAAACAATAAACAATAATAGTTAGCCAAAGATAATTAATCAAAGATACGCAAAGAATTCAGCTGATCTAATTGAGGAGCTTTCAAAGATTCCTATCGAATAATGGCATACCATCCACTGTTCGAATGAAATCCAAAACGTAGATCAATCTAAAACGAAGTCAATTGGGAATTTAGCTGCAACCGCAACTGATCGAAGCACGGTTGGATGGCTGTATATGCCCAAAGGGACCAGCATATGCTGATGCCACATTAGATCGACAACTCACTTGTCAGTCTGTCGGACTTTGTGCCACGAGCCGGCGATGTCTATCACCCGGCTGTGGACCAGTTCCAATCAGAGAGCCAAAGGACGAAGGGCACCCGGGGGAACTGGGAACTGGAAACCGGGAATTCGTAGCTCGTAACTGGTAACTGGTAACTAGAGAATCCCGCGGTGCAGCGCATTTCGCCGCGCATATGTCAGCATTTCTTTCCAAATTGGAATCGAAAAATGCTGCACTAACAGCATTTTGTGGTTTTCAGCATAATTAAAGGCAGACGGAGAACCCCCGGCAACGCCCCGGACAGATCGTAAACGTCGAAAAACGTAAGGTGTCCGGACGGGGTTGCGAATGAGCGGGATTTGGGATTCATGAGGAGTGGTTGGGATTCGGAATGGGAATGGGACTGGGACTGGGAGTGCTGTGTTCGGCGAGTTAACAAAGCCATCAATGGACCATAAACTAAACACTTTTTAAATGCCGAGCGGGGGCTAGGCAAAGGACCTCAGAGAGTCCTTGTTACCATTGTCGAAATCGCACAGATGTTTGCTCAGCGCGAGTGTGATTTCGTTGAACGCAGGAAGAACGCACTTTATTAAAGGGTAGTTTTCATCATTTACGAACTACTCACAGTGGGACACCCTGCAATTGGAACTCTGCTCTATTCGACCCACTGTGCACTGCATTCCGAGCTGATTAGATCTGATTTCGCAAGCCGATTCCGCCCTGTCAGTAGGACAGACAGACTGACAGACATACAGACAGACAGAGGAACAGGTTCCAGGGCAGGGTCACAATTTATGGCACCAGAAAACGTATTGAGCAACTTTAAATGCGGGTCATCGTCATCCCGGCCTGGATGGTTACTCCGAACCGGGGGTGGTGGCAACTGGTGGTAATGTCGGTGTCGTCTGGTGGTGACTTGGTGGTCGCTTCATTTGTGCAGCTTCGCTGAGCATACGCTGCACATCCGCCTCAACCCGAAGAATCCACCAAATGTTGCATGTTTTCTTTCTGAATATGTTTTACAAGTGGAACCGGGTAAGGGTTTTATTGACCAAAACTCCCTTTAAAAATTTTAAAAAGTAACTGGTTAGAAATATAGAAATTTTTTTGGCTCTGCATTTTTATTTGACAATTTAAAATTGAAATATATAGTCGCAAAAATAGTTCCAAATAATAAATCGGCTTTTTCTGAGACTTGAATAATAAATGTTTTAAGGTTTTAAGTGCAACCAAAACCAAATGTTTGGTTTTAAGACCTTTTATTAAGTACTCCGCTTAAAAAAATTATGTTTTACAAGTGGAACCGTATTGTTATAATTTTAAAAAGTAATTAGTAAGTAATATAGAAGTTATTTACAAAAAAAAACCAAGTTTAGGCATTTTATAAAATATAACGCTTCAAAAAAATTGTATTTTTTATTTACCTTCTTTTGAAAATTCGTAATTTTTGTATTTAACATTTAAAAATAATTTTACCAGGCTTACTTTGTTCTGTGTAATAAAACTGAACAAAAATTATGGTTTTCGTCAAACATAAACAAAATTCTATAAAGCTCTCATCAATACCCTGCAAAGGATTGGGTATAAGAACACAAAGTGGATGTTCCTGTTCCGGTTGCTGTCGCCTCTTCTGGCCCACTTTAAGAGCTCTTGACATTATGGTTATCCAGCAACCAAGTCCAACACTTGGCAACTGTTGCCAGTTCTGTTTGTGTTTTACGAGTTCGAATTGTGTGTTTGAGCTGCGGAAAATATTGCCACATCGAGGCACATAAATATTTATGCCGCATTCGATTGAGAGCTTCTCAAGCGTAAGCATTTTAGATAAAGTCCCAGTCACCACCCACCACCCACCGTTTACCACCCACTCAGGTGCAGTTGCTCGCTGGCGTTTTGCATATGACAGCAGAAAATGTTTTTGCGGCTTGATTGCGAGCGAATGTGCGTCTCGAACTGATTGGACCAACGCACAGCAAACAGGGCAGTACAGAGCAGAGCAGAAATCGAATCGACATCGACATCGTCATCAGCCGATTTGTTAACCAAAACAAGGGCTCTAATCCGACTAAGACTAAACGGGAGGCAACCACAAGAGCCACCACCACCACCCAATGCAGTGGCCCTCGGGCCTTGTTAGAGCCAAAAGTGCGACCCTCGTTCGCGCATTTTTAATCCGTTTAAATGAATGACAGTCTAATTGGAGGATTTGGCGAACTGAAGGACGAGCCGAGGCCAGACGGCTCCTTAATAGTGACAAAGTCCTTGCCATATGCTTCGAAAAAACCACATGTTATTCACGGTATTTAAACAAACAGCAACAGGGGCGGACGATGCTGGCAACAACCCTCCAAAATACTCTAGATCCAGATCCAAATCCAGCCCTCCAAACGCACTGCTCTCCAACCCTCACACAATTAGGTTCTCGCCCTGCTCACGTGAAATCCAATTCGAATTTTTATTTAATGCGCGAAAAGCACTTGATTGGATCCTGAACTGGAGAACTGGAGTTTTAGTTCACTCCGTTCTCCAGGGACATTCTGAATTCATAGGGGTGGCAAGTGCAGGACTCCTGCAGGATGCAATCTGTGTAACAAAACTTCAAGGAAACTTCACTACGTCAGCACAACTACAGCCCACTGATAAAAAAAAATAAAACTAGATAACATGATTCGGATCGTATGACAATAGTTATTTAAAAAACCCGTTTATATGATACATGCTAAGCTGATAAGTTAAGCTATGAGTTTGTCAAACTAATCTTTTTCAAATTATAAAAGATTTTAACCTGATTTAAAATCAAACAATTTTAAATTTTTATGTTTAACATTTCATAACATTTATCATTTCATAATTGTTCTATGTGAATATGAAACAATAGTAGTTAAAAATACCATAGAGCATGCACAATTATAAATATTTTTTTGTCTGTGCAGAATGAGCTTGAAGTTTCAGGCAGCCAGAAGCTGTTTCCTCAAGCAGTTCCACACAAGCCACTAAGATTACAAAGGACAGGCGGCGCATTAACAACAACCAAGGCCGCAATCTCCTCGGAAAAGGTGTCTGCTGTCTCCGGAATAAACGTAACCAGCTCCATGGAAAAGTTGAGGCAATTAGCATTTACATTTTGCTATCTTACCACGGATAATTGAAACCCGCCGAGGATGTCAGGCCAAGGCATAAGGAGCACGTAGCTGTCTCCAAACTGTAGTCGAAAGATTGCCATCTTAGTTTTTAATTCGCTTTCTGGGACATTTATACGCTTCCTTCCACTTTCTTCGGGCTTGACTTAATCACACAAAGGCAATTTCACGCCTTTTTGCGCATTGTCTGAG